CTCTGCTCATTCTGCCAAAGTGTGTGATGGTTTCCCAACGTGTGCAGCAGCCACTTCTGGCAGCACAGATAAATGCCATAGGATACCATGCAAGTCCTGGAGCAGAGCTTAAAACAGTCAATCCAGGTGCTGCTCTGCAAGTGCATTTATTCCCATTTTCCTTTTATAAAGGGATTAAAGCTGGCAGCCCAGGTGTGTGTGTGTGTTTTGTGTTAATGAAAGGAGACATGCACTGGGTTTTCTGAAGCCATTGCAGCTTTGCATTCATTTTATCCATAAGGTAAGCTGAGAATTTGGGTCCAGCCCTGACTGGTCTGGCAACTGACTACAGATGTTACTGTTCATCTTTTCAATAATAATAATAAATGTTATTATACCCAGTGCATTAAACAGCAGGGTTGAAAAGTTTATTTTTAGAGTGTTTGGAGTTTTGTGTTAAGACTTAATTTGAGGTGTCCTGATCTCAAGCTGCCAAATTTCTGCTCAGCATGGAGGTGTTCTATAGGCTGCTGTACGTTGCCTTCTGGTCTGGTTGGAGATGTAGCTTGGATGAACTATGAAGGAAGTGCTGTTTGAGGGAGCATTCTAACAACACAAATCCTGCTCTGCATGTGTGCAGCTGTACAATTGTGGCAGTGCTTTTTTTTATGACTCAGATACTGAAAGTGGAAGCAATGGTTCCAGTGATGACTTTGGTTAATTGGCTGGTGAGGTGAATGGCTGTGCATCTCTGCAGGAATTCTGGGAAGGTAATACTAATGCTTTTTGCTGAAGGAAAGCCCTTCAGTGCTGTCACCCTGCCTAAATGTTACTGTTTCAGGTTCTTTCTTCCTGAAGTGGGGCCAGTGATGCCATTTCTGAGGCGAAGATCTTACGCCCTGCTCTTGGAAAAGATGATTTTGCAATTCAGTCCAGTGCATCACGATAGGCTACTGCTGCTTCATCCTGTGCAGCTCCTCCTGGAGGAATCCTCCATTAGAAATAGAAACCTTCTGCCTCTTCCATGTGCTGTCTTGAGTGAGTATCCCTTTGCCAGCCGCCTTAAGCCCACTGGGTGGCAGCAACAGTTTCTGACTGGCTGTGGCCCAAAGCAGTCCATAACCAGGGCGAAGATGATGGGTTTCTTCTCTCCAGACAAAAATGCTTACAGCCTTTTGGACAGACAGAGCATTTAGCTATGATTGCTTAACTCATTGGCACTGTTGAAGCTCAGTGTATGCTTTGGTGTGGAATTGTTGGCTTGGAAATCTTCAGCCTGTGAAAGAAGCTGCAGTAGCTCTGGGGTCTCATAGGTGTGTCTCAGCACGGCTGAGTGTAGCATCCTCATCTGTGAGCTGCTGTCAGCTGGGAGTCTTGAGTGGATGAGAGGGAAAAGCACGCAGGATAAACTTTAAGGCAAGCAAACTTTAATAACAGCGACAACACCTCTGATAAAGACTTGTCAGAAAAACGTAGGAAGTGCTGCTCAGGCATTTATTTATTCATTTATTCATGTAAAAAACTATAAAGTCTCAGCCAGCTTAATTTGGCAGCTGGAGGTTCTTAGGCCATCTCTGATTGAAGCGGATGGCAAAAGGGGAGCAGGGCTCTGCAATGTTTTGGTTCCCCCTTGTGAGAGCTGTGGGTAATACAAGTAAGTTTTTCATTAGCTGTTAATTGAGTGTGTAGGAGGGTTAAAAAAATACTGGTCTGTGACTGTACTGTTTGTGACTATATAAAAAGTAGAGGTGAAGTACTCTGCATTGCAAGTGGGATTTGGGCTTCAGCTGATCCTTGTTTGACTTTGGTAACTTGACCTGTTACCTGTTTAGGGACTGGTGTGGATTGTTTTGTAGGGTAACTTGATTGGCCTAAATGAATTACACACGGAACAGAAATGGGCTGGTTTGTTATATCAACCTCGAAGAGCACTGTGTGAGATTTAGAAACATCGTACAATCGTAATGCAAGACAATTTCTTGACAGCATCAAATAGTTCAGGCTTGGAATCTCAGTAGATGTTAAAAGGCACAAACTCAAAGGCAGCTTCATCAGCAAGAGATGGCCTGACTCAAACAAGAATTCAAGTGGCAAGACCTGAAAGCCTGCCTTGGTAGGTCAGGTTTGGCACTCTTGTTGCCCTTCGTCCCATCGAGGTTTTCTATTGCTGCATGCACAGCTTTGAGCAGGTGCTCCATGGACCTGGGGGTTATGCAGCTGAATTCTTTGTCTCCATAAAGTTTGTGCCTATAAATACATGCTGAGATTCAGGTGGTTTTTATTACTAATTTTTTTTTGCTGTCTCATGAGCTGGTTGCCAAATGCAGACGGTTGGGTTTCTTTTTGTGAGGTAAGCTACTGCTGCTCTTTCTTGAGTGCCTCTGAAGATGCACATAAATACAGGGATGCAGTCTCCTGCAAGCCCAGAGATTGAGGGTCATTTTCTCTCCATCGTTCTGCATTGCAGGGCATTTCTCCCCCTACTCCCATGAAAACTGAATAGTTCATTTCTTGAAGGTTTTTGAAACAGAAACAAAATAGGACATAACCTTGCTGAGTTTGCTGGCTGCAGTGTTTTTTGAGTAGAGATAAGTGGAGTAATCAGTGTATTGCCTAGCCTGAAAGCAAGCCCTAGCTATGCAGGTGCAGGTGTGCTCAGCACCAGTGGTAAATGGCCCTACTTTGCTCATGTTGTAATAGTGCCTCCTGATTCACAAGTGCTGCTTGTTAAGAAATTGATACTCTAGTCATCATTACCTCTTTAATAAATAGGGTGCAATCGTAATCATCTGTAATGCTGTACTGTTGAAAGCTCAGGTTGTACCTTTTGTCACCAGGACGGTGCTGTGCCATTGGCTGCACACAGGGAGCTGTGCATTGCAGGCCCTGCAGAGCAGTGCTCCAGTCCTGCATGAGGAGCACTGTGGTCCCTCTGATGTGCACTGGGATGGCAGCCAAGAAGATAAGTGTGTCTGCATTGCATATTAAGAAGGGCTTTGCAAGAGGGGATGGGGACAAGTGCAGCTTAAACACTAATTCAGTACAGATGTATTCATTTCAGACTCTGAGCTATAAGGTGCTTTTTGAACTGGGAGCTCAGAGGCAGCTTGGTCCTTTCTTCACACTGGTGATGCTTGTGTGCTCCTAAGATGTGATCTAAAACCAGACTGTCAGGTTAGCAATGGGATCCCAATTGCTCATATGAGCCCCAGTCCACGCCTGCCTTACAATGGTGAAAGCTTCTCGTGCAAAAACCTTTTCTGAGTTAATAAATGTTCTCCAACACAGTGTGCAGGGAATGGTGGAGCTCTCTGTGTCTGTGTAAAGCAGAAGAGGCATAAAGTGAGCAGCTGGAAGGTCTGCAGTTATGAACATTCAGGTCTTCGTTATAGAGGGAGGTTTCTTAACTGTTCAGAGCCCTTTATAAATGTTATGTCTGTGCGAGGGAAGGAGTGGAGCATTTCTGCAGGAGGCAGGGATGTGGTTTTCAGTTCCCATCTTTAAATAAGGCACAGAGGTATTTCTGAACTCAATTCTCATGCTGGACTGTTTGTAAATGCCATTCCCTCCCTGTCCCAGGTTTCTGTGGCAGTTGCTGCTCACGAGGTGAGGGAGAAAAACACCTCCAGGTTAGTGGGAACTTGAATATGAGGGGTCAGAAATTAGGAAATCTGATTCGGTTTGGAAGATGCTATTCCAGAACATCTTGGAACATACATTTCTTTCCCAATAATGACCTGATGAAAGGGGAAGATTCATCAGGAGTTTGAGCTACTTTATTATCCGCATCTGTGGAATGCCACAGCTGTGAGGCAGCATTTAATCCCAGCTTCCAAGCAGATACAAGATTTTACCCCCTGTGATCCCTCTAAAGGCAGTGAGAATGAATAACAGCAGCTCAACAGAAGATTGCCACACGTAGACTGATGTTCAAAGTTACACATAATGGAAGAAGCCCAAAGAAGTGGCGTGGAAAATCTGAATACCAAATAGGAAATTTGTTATGAGGACCTCTGCTTAGCAAGCTGGTAAGCTTTCTTTGAATTACAGCCTTGACAAATAGGTGTGCAGTTGCTGGCTAATACCAGCAGCCAGGCAGGGTTTTGGTTTTCTTTCAGCTTATTGTTCAAGTCCACGTATGAACTCATAACTGTAAGTTTGCAATGGGTGTTAAGAAATACCAACTGATGATGAGTTCTGTCTTGCCAGAGCAGAAGGTAAAGGGGGGGGGGTAATGCATGTGTGCACAGACACAGCTGGACTTCACCAGATTTTGTTTTGCTTTTAAAGTTAAGAATGGGTTCTAAGTCCCCAGGGCATGCAGTCAGTTCTTGGTTCCTAAAGGTGCTGTAATAAAAGAAATCTTCAGCACCACTTCAGGGGTGCAGGATGAAGTTGGGTCTTCCCTATTATCAGACATGTAGTGGTTTGTAGCCCTTGAATTTTGTGTGCTGAGTTTCTCATTCATTTTCTTGCTGCCTCACCCTCACTAAAAGGGAATGTCTAACATTCTGACAGAGGAACAATCTCCATAATTAGGATTCTAAAACAAATGTCAGCCTAATTGAGTGTCAAGGAAAGAAAGTGTGTCTCCTTCCTCACCTCCTTTGCTGTGCTCAAAACAGCAGTTGATGCTGCATGACCTGTTTTACATCAGCTGTTCAGCTTTTACCACATCATCTGCACCCCCTCTTTGTTACCCTGCACTCCTACAGCAGCTGCTTACAGCTTCCCAGTCACATTTTGGAAGCAGCTCTAGGTTCATTACTGCATTGAAAACATGGCCTCCTGAAACTCAGGGATGTGTCATTTTCTGTTAGTGAAGCAGTCATTCATATTGCTGTTTTTAACACTCCAAAAGGCCATTCTACTATATGAAATTTATTCCCCAATATTAAAAACAGGACCCAAAGGCTTAATAAACATCATGACGCCAACTGGGATGGCAGCAGACAGAGGCTGCCTGACCCACTCACCTCAATGCAGCATATTTGCAGTCTTTGAAACACAGCATGAGAAAATCAGTTGCATTCTTTTTATTTCAAATGCAGGAGAATTCCCTGAGTAAGCAGTTTTTTACTTAAATAACACTTGGCCAGGACTTAAAATCAACCTGTGGAACAGGTTCCCACAGCCAATGCTGCTCTGGAGATGGCAGGTTCTTTGGCCCAGGGAAGCAAAGGCCTGGCAGAAGCTCCTGATTCACTTCCAGAGCTTCATGCTGCGCTGCCATCGGCCTCCTTCAGTACAGCAGTCTCCTCCCCGTCCACATCTCCTTTCTGACTGAGCTCTGGGCTTCTTCTTTGACTGCTCTGCCACAGAAGGGATTTTTCATATTTGGTCTTAAACAGTAATCCATGACCTAAAGAAGCAAGAATGATGGGGAAAAAAATTAAAAGCAAAGAACAAAGAAACTGAAAGGAAGGGAACACAGTGGAAAATGGAGCAGATCGTTCCTTGGAGCTAGAACAAATGGGTCTGGAAAGAACCCATCCCAAAGCCTTGGAAGAAAAAGAAAGAATCTTGAATGTGCACTAGGTGCAGATTTTAACAGCTGCAACCCACGATGTGAGATAAGGCATCTGCCCAGGGACCTCTAAGGACAGAACACAAGCAGCCCTGCTTACCTGGACAGTCTGCTGTCTCTTTGAACGCTCTTTTCTTGCAGCAGCCTCGGCACATGTTAAACACACATTTATTGCCCTGGTGGGGGTGTAAAGAAGTTTATAGCATTAACAAAAATAAACATGCACACATATGTGAGTATAATTAGCAGCAACAGTCCAGCTCTGCGCATTCAGACCCTTGGAAAAAGCTTCACTCTAATGAAGCTGACTGAGCTGGTGTCATGCAGAGTGGGGAGGACAACTATCAGCTGTGCACAGAGAAAACAACCCCACAAACCCACAACCAACCCATAACCAACCCACAACTTCAGTTCAATTCGGCACCAGCACCGGTCCATGGGCAGCCTGGGTCAGACACCACACACAGGACATGCTGTGAACACTTTGCAATGATGTTTGTTACAGCTAAGCTTGCTGCTATTTCTCTATGGAAGTACCACATGAAACAAGGTGCTTGGCAGATGCTTGTAATTGGTAACTATGCCTCCAATCAATCAATCAATCTGACTACATCCAGTTCTTCCCTTTTTGCAGCTTCAAATATACCTAAGGATCCATTTTAATATAAAGCCAGACCTTTCTCCAGCAGAGAGCAGCAGTTCAATCTGCCTGTTCTACAGCTTGGCTGGGTGCTCTGATGCTCACACCTCCATGAGCTTTCAGTGATTTCCCCCACCCTGATGAAAAACACCTTCATGTCTGGGTTTTGCTTTGCTTTGTTCTTCCTGCTCCTTGCTAGCCCCTATACAACACAGCTTTGGAACACAGAATCTAGAAGAAAAACCATAGGCCCATTCTAAACACTTCAAGAGCTGCCTGCAACATTACAATGATGCAAATCCAACACAAATGTGAGAACAAGTCCCATTTTGAACAATCCTGCTTGAGGTCCCACGCTGTTAACTGGTCCAGCAATGAAACAGTGACCAGAACCAGACCACCCAAAAGCTCAGTGTTTTCCCATTAATGAACCCAGCAAGAAATCTTTCTGTTGCAGCAGCTCAGAACTGAGTCCCAGCTGAATGCTGTTCATAACAACAGTGCTCCAGAACAGAACATCCCCTATCACCACCTCTAGAGCTTAGCATGCACGTATTGCTGGATGCTGACTGGCCCTATATCATGAAAATGCTTTACTGGACACTGACTTACCTTGGGGTTTCCACATTGATCACACTTTGCATATTTAGCTGGAAAAGACAGAGAACTGAATTCAGCAATGGTGTTTCATATGGAAAGAGTCCATTTAAAAATTCAGTGCCTGACAAAGCACAGTGCTGCTTTAGTCAGAGGAGGGGCTCTTTTCCTAATTAAAATACAGTACCACAATGAACAGTGCAGAGCAGGCAAAGATACATTGAGTTTTTCAGTGTGTTTAAGTTAGATGCAGATATGAAAAGAAATATTTTCAATTCCAGTGCAAAAGAGGTGGAAATCTGCTTGGAACACATCTGAAATTTCAATTTCAAATACCAGTAACTGATACTGCTTTGTTTGTAAAGCATCCTGAGCTTTCAATAGCTGCTTATTGTAGACTACTGACCTTCTTTGGAGATGAGGTTCCTTTCCAAACGAACACAAATTGAATCGTGCTGCCTACTACCAAACTGCCCAACAATCCACCCTATGTTAAAGAAATTTCTACACCTACATAAAAGACCAAGAAAGAAGTGGCAGCTTATGCAGCAGCAACGCCAACAGATGGAACTTACGTTTTAAAGATGGGTCAAAGCTTTTATTTGGATTTCTTAACTTCTTTTTTTGCTTATTCTTTGACAGAAGCTCAGAATTTCCATCTTCTTCCTCTTCCAGACAACGTTTCCCCCGCACACCTTTTTCAATCCCCTTGGTTCCATTCTCCTTGCATCTCTCCTTCGGCCTGAAATGGTGAATATCAGCCTAAGTTGGCTGAAGGGAAGAAAAAGGTGTTCCCTGGACACTGTCAGCCTATAGAAAACTGCAAAGATTTCTATCATAGCTAAATTACATGGAGATGATATTGCTTTTAGATGTGAAGGTACACCAGGTTCAGAAAGTGGAATTCTTGTTTTTTACTTTCTGAAGGGAGAATCTGAAGGAGACGATACCTACAGAAAGCAACATCCCCATGAACAAAACAATAACCAGGAAAACAGGAAAAAGAAAACCACAAGAAAAATAACCTGGAGTTTTCATTTGTTTTCAAATGCACGTAGGCTCCAAAACCAGGACTGAGTTACTCTGCAGTGACAGTAAGGGCAGGAAAAGCAGCTGGCTGCATTTAATGTAGGTAACTCACCCTGGCCTGATGTATGGCTGGCAGATCCAGTGGAAAAAAGGCAACCCCTCTTTTGGCTTCTCTCCTTCCTTCTGATTTGCTATTTCCTCCTGCAGCACAGGGTTACAGTCAGCTTTCCTGCAGTTCTCAGGAAATATTTCTACATAGTGCTTAAAGCTCCAGGAAACCACTGAGCGTGATTTGAACTAATGGACACTTAAATACAGTCAAGCAAAACGAAAACCAAACAACAAAACACCTCTAAGAACACAGAAATGAAGCAGATTTCTAACTCCTAAAGCAGCTTTTACCGATGCGAAGCCGTTTGGGCTTCCCACAGTTGGTAAGCTACAAAATTCCAGGGAGGTGCCTAACAGATACAAACCACATTGACACACGTGGTGCATCCCCACCATGTGCACACAGGGCTGGTTGGGGGAGCAGGGCCCACCGTGGTACCTGGCAGCGCAGTTTCAGTTCCCTGTTGACATCCACGATTCCCTCTAGAGTCTTCACTTTTGCTAATTCTTCACGCAGCTGCTGGTAAACTTGAAGCCTGAGGCAAAACCCAAACACCAAGTCATGTTTATTCGTTATTCATTATAAGGAGATCATCTAAAATATCTTTATAAAAGCCTTCCTTGGAGTTTTCTCACTGCGCTTGCCTGAGGTAGGAGTTCATCTTCTTTCTTTTAACTCTAGGCATCTGTTCCTCTTTCAGGTAAATGCTTGTGAATTTGGGCATGTAAACGTGGTACTCTGAGATAAGTGAACACGAGCAGGCCACGCATCAGCTACTGCTCAGGAACTGCTCATGAATGTGCTCTTACTCCATGATAAATGCAAGACAGATTGCTGCAAAGTCAGTGAGGAGGCAGGCAGCTCATGTTTGCCATGAAGTGCATGAATGCACAGAGACCATTGCCACATCCCAGCCAGCGTGCTCTGATCTCACACCCTGATTTACCTCCTAGTAACTCCTTCATTCCCCAAACCCTGTTTTCCTGCACTGAAGGCTGAAGGCTTCAGCCCACATTCTCTCCAGGAAGGTTCAGGAAAGAAAACCTTACAACTCCCATCAAACAAATTCTTGTATAGGAAAGTCAGACATTGCTAAGAAAATGAGAAAACACAGAAAACACCCAGAAAACACCAAGAGTGTCCTGGAGATACTCACGTGTGATGCCAGAGCTTGAAGAGATGAGCCCTGACATAAGACAACGGACAGGGGTACTTCTGCACTATCTCCAGATACTCCTCAGCCATCTCCCACACCAGTGGGTTTCGTCCCTCAAATAAAGCTGGGTTGTGAAGATTCCCTTCTAGGAAATGAAAAGAAACACACTTTCATTTCAGGATTGAAACAGACAACAAAATCTAGGCTCTGCAGTTTGACCAGCTTGTATCAGCCAGTCACAGATATTCACAAAGAAGAATGGAGTCTCCATAAATGCTGGCCTGACCTCACAATACTTTATACATAATTCTTGATTGGGTTCAGTAGCTCATATCTAATTAAAATCTTCACACAGAAAGTAAAAAAAAAAAAGGAAAAGAAAAAGAAATCAATGCCAATGGTTAGATATTTAGCCAATGTGTGTCTCATGTTAAGTTTACAGTCTTCTTTGTTTGGCTCAACTATGCAGGTACTGCTTCTTACTAAGCCATGCTCAACTAGTGTGACAAACCTTTGTTACCCAGTGCTTTCTTAAAAAGATTCTGCAATGTTCCACTGCTTTAGATGTGTGAGTGCTGGAAGCTTTTTCTGATGTCTATCCTGACTCTTGTAGCCAGTACAGCCAATTCTTTCTTGTCCAACTCAACACGAATCATCTGCAGGAGCGTGTCATCAGTGGGACATTACTGCACCAAGACCCATTCAGAAGCTATTTCACTAATTAATAGATGCCACGAGAATATTCCAGGGTCACAGGAGATTTTTTGCCAAGTAATTAGATGTGAGCCATCCACTGAACAGTACTGCAAGTCCTGATCCTGGGGAGAAACAGCCCAATGCAGAGAGAAAGGCCACACAGCTTCCCATCAAAGTTGTTCAGCACACATCAGCCCAATGCAGGCTTTATATAAATGCATATGGAGAGTAAGAAACAGTTTGTGGCCTCATCTGTTAACAGTAAAAGCTCTTTACCTGCACTCATGACCCCGTGCACTCCTGTCTTACGGATACATTCTTCCACATCACTGAGACACTGGATGTTTCCATTTGCAAACACAGGAATGCTCACAGCTTTTCTGCATCAGTGAATAAACCAGACGTACAACATTGAGAATTAGGAAAGGCTGGAGTTAATCCAGAACTTCTACTCCTGTCACACACACAGACGCTTCAGTGCCACCCCGTGCAGAGATTAAAGTTTACCAGGTGCTAAAATGGGTACTGCTCACTAACCTGACAGCTTGAATGTGCTCCCAGGATGCCACGCCAGCAAGGGGTCCCTTCTGCTCTTTCGTACGGCCATGGACTGTCAGCAGCTGGAACACAAAGTCCTGTTTACTTCTGAAGCGTATGAACCACTGCAACAAATCCACTGACAAAAGACTGTCCTGAATCCAACACACTTCATGGACACTACTGAGATGCCAGGGCTTTTTAAAAAGTGCAAGGATGCTGGTATAGCAGAAAGGTATCACCGGGTGCTCTGACACAGTCCTGGGTGTTGTTTGACTTCATGATCTTGTCGTGCCATGGAGCAGATCTAGGGAAAACCTACAGATTTCCCACTGCATTGGCTCCTATTGATAATAGATTGATCTGCCCTGCCCCTCAGCAGAAGGTCCAAGTACTGGGAGCACTGGCTCTGACCACAGACTGTCTCCTCTAATTTAACTTGGATCCTGGACAATCAGCCTACTTTTTAATTGGCGGTGGCCATACCTATTTTGTTTGCTTTTTGGTAGCCCTGTGGATCTCATGCATTCACACTGCCTCCTGCAGCTCTGTGTCAGATGGAGACTCTCACCCACGAGGAAAGATGCCACACTGTGCAGTGATTCCAACAGAGACCCTGAAATCACGTTTCCTATCACAGCAGCAACCCAATACGCCACCTACAAATTTTTCCTGTCCATTAAACAACGCAGCCCATCCATCTCCACAGCACACCGAGATCGTGAGGTGCTGCACACTGAGATGTGCCCCATGCCCAAGGGCAGGGAGCAGCAGCTTCCTCACCTGGCAGCCGGCCTTCTCCAGCATCTGTGCGTATTTCACTGTCTTGTCAATCTCGGGGAAAACACGGATTTTGCACGTGATGGGAACAGAGAGCTTCTCGTTGGCCAGCAGAACTAGGAGAGATGGAGAAGGCAGTAAGTGGGCTGCACGACGCTGCGGGAAGATCAGACACTGTGTGTGATATGGAAAAAGCCCCCCCCCCAAAATCACATCACGCAGTTCTCACAGATTAAACCATCAGCAATGTCCTCTGCAATCCTCACCACAGAGGTTCACCAACAACAGGTAGTAAAAATACACAAAATGTGTGTGTTAATAAGGAGGCACAGCGTGCTCAGAATGTAACAACTCCATCTCCCACCACGTTTAACGTTCACTTTCAAGGGCTTGTCCCATCACATCTTAACCGCTGGCACACGTTTCCTACTGTCACAGCACACTGCATTCCTGCTGCTCTGCCAACAACAGTACTTGTTCACATTTCCTCTGCTTTGTTTCCAAATTATTACCCAAACAATCATGACAAGCAGAGTGTTGCTCACAGCAAGCAGAGCCTTAGTGACCAGACTGGGACCACGTGGCTGCACAGCAGCTCTGTAGGAAAGGACCCACGAATTCTGGTGGGCTCCACATGCTCTTGCTGCTCTGAAGGCTAACAGTACTTATTTTTGGTTGCTTTAGGCAAAGCATTGCCAGCATGCCCAGGGAGGTTATCCTGCTTCAATGCTCAGCACTGGTGAGGCCACACCTGGAGCACTGCACTCAGTTCTGCCCCTCCAGAATAACAGATACAGATATACTGGAAGGAGTGCAGCACAGGGCCACTAAGTGCCACTAAATCCAGGGACTGCAGTGCCTCTTCTGCAAGGAGAAGCTGAGCCCTGTGGCTGTGCAGCCTGGGTAAGGGAGGCTCAGCAGGATCTCTTCAATCCCTAAACATATGAAGGAAAGAGGATGAAATGAAGAGAGTTGGGCTCCTTCCAACGATGCCCAGTGCCAGGACACGCCTGGAATCCTGTTCTGTTCCAGAGGTTTGATGCACAGTGCAGAAAGGCACCTGTTTTCTCTTAATCCATATCCTAGAAGTTCTAATGAAGAAGCAAGTGAGGTGTATAGAGGTCCAAGCAGAAAACAGCACTGTGTGGAGAAGCAAGAAGAGGCAGAAGCTTTGCCCATCTTGTATAGAATAGGTTCACTAGGCAACTCTCTTCCAAACCAAATGGGCTGTGTGCTTTTCTCACCTCAAGGCTCTGCTGGCTTACAGCTCCCACTCCTAAGAGAAGTGCCCCAATGGCCACATGACAAGCTGGGCAGAAGCACTGTCTGTCTAAGTACTCTGCAGTGTCTTTTGCTGAACACCACAGAAGTAACATTCTGTAACTCTGCAGTTCAGGCACTGGATTTGAAACAAGGAGAAGAACATTCTTGGCTCTACACAAAGAACAAAACCTTCCTTAACAAGAAAGTAGTTCCCAATGTGTTCCCTAAAAGAAACAAATATATATAATACTGATCACAACTGCTACGAATACCACTGAGGGCATATTACACACAGTTGGAGAAGAGAGGCATAGCTTGGTAAGGAGTGGGCAGAAAGAGAAGATTCACAAAGAAAAGGGCAACGGAGGCTCCAGACAGAAATGCTCTCCCTGGTAATGTGCTGGATGTTCTGCTTTTAGCAGCTGAGGAGCCACCAAGCCATCACCAGACTGGAACTTCAGTGACTCAGGTGAGAGGTTTCTGAGGTCCTTCAGCAGATGTAAGATGAGCTGTGAGTGGGGTATCACGAAGTACCACAGCGTGCAGCTGGAATAAAGGGATGGTAACAAAAGCACCAAACCTCACAGCCCTGCCCAGACAGCACTGCACCCCTTCCTCCCTCTGCCTCCTCTTACTGCTGAGTTCAACCCATTCCCTCTCAAAGCAAGCCCCTCCAAACACTTACTCATTCTCTGCAGAAGATCCCATTCCTCTTGTAGAAATGCTCCATAGTGACCTATAACAAAACAGCACCAGATTGACTGTGCAGAAGAGAAAGGAGCTGCCACACAACTACATTCGTACACAAAGATCCAGACGCTCACTGACAGAAGCAGAACAAATCTATCCTCAGCATCCCAAGTTTTCAAACACAGGTCCTGGTGTTTGAAACACAGCTACGTTTGCAACACCATTAAGGGTTCAGCAGGTTTCATCCTCTATATGCCACTGTTAATTCATTCTGTGCAAGCATTAAGGAAACGGGGCACGCTGAGTGCCTGCACACGGGTACTTTTAAGTGTAGTTTTGTGAATGTAAGCTCCCTGATCAACTGAAATTGGGAAAGACAAATAAATAAATCAAGCTCTTGCAAAAAAAAAAAAGACTTTTTTGGACATTCTAGACACAAGAGCTATCGCTCAAGAGAGAAATAGGAAGTATTAGCATCCCTAATTTTGCTTGAGGTACTACAAAGCTGTATCTGTTACAGTGGGTGTAATTAAGTCTGATTTCAACATTACTGATGCCACCCCCAAGTCTTAATTCTGTCATCTTAACGCCCCACTGCCAAAGCACACATTCAATACACGCCACATCTTTATTTATCCAGGGTTCAAATTTGCACATACCTCTCTTTGCAATCATCTGGGGGCAACCCAAATTCAGGTCTATGGCATCACAATAATCCTGAGCCAACAGCGCCGCTTGGACAAACACCTCAGGATCATTGGCACAGAACTGGGAAGGAGACAAAGACGAGCAGAATCAGACAAGCAGAATAAGCAGGCAGCAGGTTTTTTTTCCCCACATACTGTCAACAGATCACGACATGCTGTCAAAGCAACCCACTGCTACACAAAACAGGCACAGTTCCAAACAACCACGGCCATTTCTCAACTAAAATGATTCAAAACCAACAGATCTGTGACGCTGATCAGCTAAAGACCCCCAACCTCCTAACAAAAAAATGAAAAAAGATGAGCACTGAAGAGGCAAAGAAACATTTGTGGAGTTTTTCACATATGGTAAAAGGGGGCAGCCCCTCAGATCCGCTGTGGAGCAAACAGTGTTATCACAGGAGCACATCCAGGCAGCGCTGAGAAAATTCCAGCTTTATTGATGCTACACAACAATTCATTCAGAACAGGCTGGACGTGGCTCTGGGCAGCCTGGTCTGCACAGAGCAGGGGGGTTGAAATCCTTTTCAACCCAGACCATTCTGTGATTCTATGAATTAGGTTAACCCGAAGCTGTTTCATGGCAGAGCTGTGGCACGAGGGGCTGTGCCTGCTGCCCTGAGAGCTGCTCCATGCCCCCTGGGGTACAGCCTTTCCCTCACCTCCACCCGGTGCAGCTCAGTGCCAACATCAGTCAGACTTTCACAGCCTTCTCACAGCCTGGGGAGATGATTCCCTTCTGCAGCAAAGAGTCCTCCTCATCCATTCTGCTGCTCTGTATGTGAGAACTGCCTGGCTTGAGCTGCTCATCCTTCCCTGTGCTGTGCTGCAGCCCCACAGACCCCTCTCTCTTTGGGACCTGAATGTAGCATAGTACTCAAGAAGCAGAACTAAGGCCCCAGCTGGAGTACTGCGTCCAGGTCTGGGGCCCCAAGTACAAGAAAGACAGGGAAATGTTGGAGAGGGTCCTGAGAAGGGCTAAAAAGATGATCAGGAGGCTGGAGCACCTCCTCTACAACGACAGGCTGAGGGAGCTGGGCTTGTTCAGCCTGGAGAACAGAAGGCTGCGGGGCGACCTCATTGCAGCCTTCCGTACCTAAGGGGAGCCTAAAACAGGAGGGGAGTCAACTCTTTGAAAGGGTAGATAACTGCAGGACAAGGGGAAATGGTTTGAAGTTGAAGGAGGGAAGATTGAGATTGGATGTCAGGGGGAAGTTCTTTCTTATGAGAGTGGTGAGGTGCTGGAACAGCTGCCCAGAGAGGCTGTGGATGCCCCGTCCATTCCTGGAGGTGCTCAAGGCCAGGTTGGATGGGGCCCTGGGCAGCCTGGAATTGAACATGGAGCAGCTCTGTCTGTGGTGGGGGTTTGGAGTTTGATGATCCTTGAGGTCCCTTCCAACCCAAGCCATTCTATGATTCTGCGATTCTATGAAATACAGAAAGCTTTGAAGCACGTCCTCTCTTCCTTGCGTTTGCTTTTCTGTCCTTTTTACTATAGCCAAGCCCTGAGCTCGTGGTTTCAGACAGAACCCAGCGCTCCTCCCCACGGAACAGGGCGGGGCAGAAGCCGGGGCTGCAGGGCGAGGGGCCCGAATGCCACCAGCGGAACGGCTCAGGTCGGAGGGGACCTTAAAGGTCATCGAGCTCCAGCCCTAGGGAGGGTTGCGCGCCACAGCTCGGGCTGCCCAGGGCCCATCCACGGCCTCGGGCACCTCCGGGGCTGGGGCACCGCAGCTCCACGCAGAGCCTCACCGCCCTCCGAGCAAAGAATCTCCCCTCACATCTCACCCGCATCTCCCCTCTCTCCGTCTGAAGCCGTTCCCGCGGCCGTCCCGCTGTCGGTCCCCACGAACGCTCGCTCCCCACCTGCACGATGAGCGGGCGGTCCTCGGCACAGGCCTCGCCGTACAGGTTCTCGCGGCGGTAGTTGGCGTCCCTCAGGAAGACCTGGGCGTGCAGCATCGGCGTGTAGCAGAGCTGGGCGCCGTGCCGGCGGCTCAGCAGCCTCCAGGCCAGCTCGCTTTGGTCCACCATAGGAGCCACCACGTAGTGGGCGCCGCGCAGCGTCTCCCTCCAGAACGCCTCTCCGCGCAGCTTCGGCATCTCCCTCCCGCCGCACCCCACCGCGGGGCCCGCAGCCGCCGCCTGAAGCCCGGAGGCTCGGCCCGGGCAGGGCAGCGCGGCGGCCGGACGGTGCAACCGCCATCTCCCTCCGGCCGCTCCCGCGGTGCCGCCGCGCGCCGTCCCGTCCGGAAACCGCAGCGCCGCTGACGGGGACCGCGCGCGGACGGGGCCGGGGGCAGAGCGGGGAGCGCCGTCCCGCGGCTGCACGGAGCCCGTCGGCCCTTCAGCACGCGGCCCACGGAGGAGCCTGCGAGGGCTTTTTCCACCTACTGTCTTCTCCCCCACCCCCCACCCCAGCTCATGGTTGGGATGGATCCCGCTCGGCATGAAGCACTTCCCGTTCTTTTCCACCATCTTCTATTGCTGTCAGAGGCCGAAGCGATCGATCAGCTCTGCTGTCTGACCTATGCAACCTCTCTAACCTTCCCTTTCCCTTTCCTCTGCTTAGAATCACGGGATGGTTGGAGCTGGAAGGGACCCTAAAGGCCATCTGGTGCCACCCCTGCCCTGAGCAGGGACACCCACAGCTCCATCAGTGCTCACAGCCCATCCCTGCCCTTGGCTGTCTGCAGGGATGGGGCACCACCGCCTCTCTGGGCAACCCGTGCCACTGCCTCACCACCCACAGTGTAAAATCTTCCTTATATCCAGTCTCAACCTCCCCTCTTTTAGTTTGATACATTTCCCCCAGTCCCATCCCAACAGACCCACTGAAGAGTCTGTCCCCATCTTACAGCCCCTTTAGGGAGTGAAGGCTGCTCTCAGCTCTCCCCAGAGCCCTCCCTTCTCCATGCTGCACAGCCCCAGCCCTCAGCCTGTCCTCATAGGGCTCTTTGACCCCTGCAAGCCATTTCTGTGGCCCTCCTCTGCTGTGCCCCGACAGGTCTGTGTCTCTTCTATACTGACGACTCCACATCCACACACAGTGCTCCCAGTGAGGTCTCATAGCGCAGAGCAGAGGAGAAGGGCTGTGCTCTGTCCTTACAGCCTCAGGTTGTGCTGACAGCAGGGGCTGCCTTGTACTTGGCTTTGTTTTACCTCATGAGGTTTCCCTGGGCCCACTGCTGAGCCTGTGCAGGTCCCTCTGAGTGGCATCCCATCCCTTGGGCACGTTGACCACACCACACAGTCGGGTGTCATCCACAGACTGCTGAGGGTGCACTCAATGCCACTGTCAACATCACTGAGGACACTGAAGAATGCTTGTCCTGTTACTGGCCCCTCAGGGACACCAGTGCTCACCAAACTCCACCCGGACATCGAGCCATGGACTCTCTGTGTACGATTTCACAACCAGCTCCTCGTCCAATGACCATCATCAAATCCCTATCTGCCCAGCTTGGAAAGAAGAACACTGTGGGCTATGTCAGAAGCCTTACTCCAGTGGCTCTTCCCTTGTCCCCTGACACAGTCACAGTATAATGGAAAGCCACAGGGTTGGTCAGGCAGGATCTGCTCTCAGGGAAGCCATTCTGGTTGTCCGATCTCACTGAACTAACTGCAGGAGAAACCATTTTTATGTTTTAAAGTTGCTTTCTCTGGCAAAAGAGCACTACTCCCTTCAGGAAGCTGACAGGACAAAGGCAAAGTAATAGCTCTGCTACTGATGAACACCATAAACACCAAACGTTTTTCTTTTTGCATGATGTTAGGCTACATTGCAGGTTTCAGGTTTACTGCCCAGCATTTCATAACAGCAACGTGTTTTTTTCTGAGCCCAAGCCAGGCTGCAGAGCAGCATAGGGGCACAGTCTCAAGGAAGAGCAGCATGGCGCAGAGAAGATGAAGAGGAGGATGGAAGCCGAGCAGCAGTTGACAGGAGGCTCCCACTTCAGTTTCCACAATGAAAGGTAAATGTGAAGAACTTCTACCTTTGACCTACAAGTGACTCTTTTTGACTCTGCACGATGCTGCTATCTTTCTACCCATCGAGAAATAACGAGCAGTACCAGCGCTAATAAGGTTTTTATTTTTGGCACACTGTATTCAGCAGCCAGTTACATAATGGGTTACAGGGCAGCAGCTCAGTATTAGACAATTAGGGGGAAAACAAAACAAAACAACAACCTCCTGCCTTTCAAATAACAACCACAAGAACATTGAGAGCATAGAGGCTATAAGTAATTCTTGAGGAATTTCTATTACTAAACCAGTATCTTCAAGCTTTGCCTAGAAGAGACCATGCACATTTATGTTTATACAGAGAACTTGTACGACTCCTGATCGGACAGCTGCAACAGCATCAGTCCTTGATCCCTCCACACAGCCCATTCAGAACTGCACTGCCTTCCTTCAGAGCTGAGATGCTGGGTCAGAATCGTTAACACTTCATTTTAGTGCAGGACTATTGTATCTATTTTGTTAGAAGTTTTAAGCACTCTTTTTCCTTCTGGCTGTTCAGTACAACCAAGGCAGATAGGATTCTTTCCCTCTTTTCGGGCTCACTACAGCTGCCAGTGGTAAAAACAAGAAGGTAAACAAAACAAAAACATGAAAAAAAGGAAAAAAAAAAAGAAAGAAAAAAAAAAAAAGGAAAAGATACTGGTCCCTGGTTGTTTTATTGAATGTGGTGTCGTATGCTAGGATGTGCACGGATAGAGCACAGGAGCTGGAATGAAGTCCCCTGTTATGCATGTATGCCCAGTCCCTATAGCTACCGTTCAGCATCACATTCTTTGCAGCTGTAAGGCACCTCCCTGCACACACTGCCTGCCTCCTAACGCCTGACCACCATCCCTCACAGGTTAATAGCATGTGTTCCCATTGCCTGCTTAGCACTCTCAACGACCTTGAGGTAGATGCTATTAGTCCCATTTTACAGATGGGGAAACTGAGGCGGTAACATGAACCACTTGTACAAAACCACAACGATGGAGCCAGAATCAGAATTTTAAGAGTTTTCACCTCAATCTTTTGGGTACGTGTGTGATTTGGTTGCATCTAAGGTACCAAAAAGCACGGCCATGAGGAGCCACGCTCCAGGATTATCTCAATTCTTCTTTCTTAATGTTATTTCTACAGACTCCAATCTGGTATCTTAGCAGCAGTCTTGGCTTTATATCAAGAAATGAGAGATTCCGAATGAAACTTGAGGATTAAAAGGATAGTAGTAGAGAATGAGACAAAAAGCCAACCAGTGATCAATTCTGTTTAATTCTAGGAAAGCCAAAGAGGAAAAGACACTCTTCAGATTAAAAAAAAAAAAAAGTAAAAAAAAACAAAACAAAACTTATTCTAGAAATGCTTTAAGCTGACATTATGTTGTTTGTATTTCAGATTTCACAAAAGAAATACTTTATAAAACTAAAACCAGTTAACCCAGCCACTATCCACAGAGGGTTGTATAAGCAAGAGACACTAGGTCAGAACCTGCACGAGGAACCAGTTGTTCCTCTCACTGGAATGCTCCTGAACTAACAGGATGCTTCACCAGGGGATGAATACAGAAAGAACCAGGGTTTACAGGAGTTCTGAGAGGCAGTGAAATGCCTCCTGGTTGGTACTTCATTGCTATTCAGGTCTCCTCTGTATCATAGGTGTAGCAAGGATTTACTGATTTTGGAAAAGTCAGATCCAACATAGCAAAAGTCAGTCATTTTTAAATTGGATTTTATGCAAGTTTCCTTTAAAAAGGTACTGTATCTTAAAATCATGCCAAACTGTTTACTTAGCTAACTTATGTGGGATCTCCAGTCTCACTGCCAGAGGAAAATGCATACTCAAGGCTTAAGCCCTGTGCTAAATAAGATACACCAGGGCACTGGGTGGATGCTTCTATGTTTGCATGAACTTTGGTTATGGGAGAGCAAGGGTAGGAGGATTTGTACCGTTACCAAAGGAGAACTCTATTTCCCTGACATCCCAGATGGTTGGATGGAGCAGCTGGAGGTGGGAAGGAACAAAGGTGAAGCAATAGCTGTAATGCTTTACTGTTTCTGGTAATGCAAAGCACAGAAGCTTGCACAGATATAAACTGAGTACATCCCTAAGGACAGCTCTGCCTGCTTGTTCAGCCCAAGCTAAGGCTGTTCAATACAGTGGCATCTGTTGAACCATCCCACCCTGCCCTCCACACCTCCCTCCTCACAAGAGTGGGTGATGGCAAGAACCCTTCACTTCCACCCTTCTGAGCAAGGCAGGGTGAGGAGCAAAACAAAAACACACACAAAAATCACTGATCAAAATTAAAAACACCACAACAAAATAAAACAAAACACAAACAAAAATAAACTAAAAAAAAAAAAAAAAAAAAAAAAA